TGATTCACACATCAATATAAATATATATAAATCATAAACACATGCCAAACCAAAAACTTTTAGCTGAGTATTGTATTCCCAATCTGTTGGCAAATGTCCAGCCGATTCACCATGCGTGACCCAACAAGATTCAAACTATGGGTTGTTTACTTTTGAAAAAAAGTACTGGGTGAATCTACGTATATCTATGACGACAATCTCCCAAAATCATCCTAAAAATCTATGGACATCTATGGACCAAAACCACGGCCACATGCCCATCCTCTATAAAATGGTCTGCAAGAAAGTTCAGCTCTATAAAGTGGCTTGATCACGTCATTTCTGGCAGCCCCACCCTCTGTATAAACTGGCCGGTCCATGCCCATCCTCTATAAAATTGTTTGCAAGAACCAGTAAAAAAAAAAAAATCGAAAGTAAACAATCCATAGTTTGAATCTTGTTGGGTCACGCATGGTGAATCGGCTGGACATTTGCCAACAGATTGGGAATACAATACTCAGCTAAAAGTTTTTGGTTTGGCATGTGTTTATGATTTATATATATATTTATATTGATGTGTGAATCATAGGTATACATATGTTTTCCAAAATTACATCTACAACATATTCAAGATACAATCATCGCCAATCTATATGGACACGATTGAAAAAGATAAACGTATATAAAAGTGAAATGTCTCATTTTCTTTGTGGTGAGGCAATCACGTTGTAATTTGTAAATCTCCGTGCAGTTGTAGTTTTCCCACAGCTACCTTGTGGTAAAGTCATTCCGTTTCCGGGTCGTCAAAGTCTCTGGGCAGACTGGATGGGGTTTTATAAGTGGCCGGCGCACCACATAGATTATGTTTTTTCAAGGGGTTTACATGGACTGGCCACTTTATAGAGGCATTCTCTGTCGGGGGAGGGGGTATAAAGTGGCCAGTCCAACATAGATTCTGTTTTTTCAGGGGTTACCTGGACTGGCCACTTTATAGAGGCATTCTCTGTTGGGGGAGGGGGTATAAAGTGGCCAGTCCAACATAGATTCTGTTTTTTCAGGGGTTTTACCTGGACTGGCCACTTTATAGAGGCATTCTCTGTTGGGGGAGGGGTTATAAAGTGGCCAGTCCAACATAGATTCTATTTTTTCAGGGTTTTACCTGGACTGGCCACTTTATAGAGGCATTCTCTGTTTGGGGAGGGGGTATAAAGTTGCCAGTCCAACATAGATTCTATTTTTTCAAGGGTTTTACCTGGACTGGCCACTTTATAGAGAAGAAGATTTCCCTTGAAAGGGGTCCTCAGGGTGAATGGGGTCCTGGGCAGCTCTATAAAGTGATTTGGGTGATGTATCTCATGACTCTATAAAATGCTCTGCCGCCATTTTCTTTCTATAAAGTGCCCTGGATGCAGCACAAATTCTTCTTCTTAAAGGGCAAGTTTCACTCTATAAAGTGCTTTGCCATGTATACAGCCCCAACAGAAAGATATTGGCCCGAAATCATTGGGGAGACATGTTTCTATAAAGTGGATGGTGTGACATATTATGGCCATTCTTTGAAGGGAACCAACGGTCTATAAAATGCATTGCCGCATATATTGAGTCGTTTCCTTGTGGGGAACCAGCCGGGTATAAACTGGAAAGCCAACGTTGCTATAAAGTCATCTTCCAGGTCCAAGGGCATGTTTCTCGCGCAAAACACGGCTTTATCCCCCATTGTCGGTATATAAAGTGGCGACCGGAAACCCACTTTATAAGCGCAAAGGATGTCCACTTTATAGTGAGCTATACATGGGGGATCTAAAATAACATCGAAAATCATATTGCTACTGGAGGCCTTGCTCCATGCTACGTTGAAGGGGGTTAATTCGGATTGGACACGACTTATGGGATGATCATCAAGGCATGAAGGTGAGCCCAGCTTAACAGGTCCACAGTTTTCAGGGTTGCTACTCCTTTTGCTGGAAGTTGCCTGGAGGAAAAGGATACAATTGAAGGTTTTAGGATGTTGCAAGCTTGAAGTCTTTTCATTGATTCCATCACATATGTTTAAGCTTCAAGTCTTTTTATCCATTGAAACCCCAACTATCCTCCAAAAAAGCAGAACAAATCTATGAACACACTTACCAGTTTTACTTTTCGAAGCCCTCATAAGCACGTTCACCCCTCACCGCCGCTTCAGGCTCTCCGAGGTGCCCAGAGGAGGCACGAAATGGATTTGATGATGGCAAAGAGCATCGTCCGAAGGCTCCGCAACCATTTCACCGTGCGCACCAGACCTGGATGGCTTTTGTCGTTTCACTGGTTGATTTTTGATATATACCGATCATATCTGTTCGCAGTGCCAGTGCCTATTGAACCTATTGAACCTATTGGTTTTGATTCATACCAGCATCTTCTGGGAACATGGCCAATGAGGTATTTCTAGTGTATAGTATATATATATAAGCAACACTAGCTTGCAGTGGCATGTGGGGCACGATTCAGTGACACTGTTCTTGACGCTGCTACATTTTGTCCATCAACAGGAATAAAAAACGCATTATCGTGTTGATCTGTGCTGTTCACTGTCAACACGAGGATTTCCTAATCATACTGATCATCCACTAGATCAAACACACCAGGAGAAAACAACCTCAAAACAACCAAACTTTAATACCAAACTTTAATAGATTCTTCAGCAGAGTACTGTCTAAGATACCAAATATGGACATAATTCAAGTTTAGCCAAATTAGGTACACGAAAAAAACAAAAAACAAATCAGTATTTTCTTGGCAGGCCAAGACTGATTAATGGCACGTATGTGTGTGTGTGTGATCATTTGATTTTTGATACCCTCTGGTAAACTGTCACATAACTATGGAAAATCACCATTTTCAATGGGAAAATCCACTATAAATGGTCATTTTCAATAGCTATTTTGACATAACCAGAGGGTACTTCATCCACCGGTTGATCTCCGATTTCAAGGTCGACCCACTGAGTTCCTGACGTACCACTCGGATCAGCCGAAACACTCTGCAGATCCGCAAGAAGGACATGTTCGCGAACAGGGACTTGGTCACTGGATTGGTTTTCTTGGGAAAATCTTAACCTGAAACCATGGTTTTTACCATGAAATATAGGGTTTTCCTGTAAATTTTCCCATCATCCAATTCTATGACTTGGCCAAACGGGAGCCAAACGGGATGCATGGGATCCATATGTTTTTTGTTTTCTTCTCCAAACCTCTGATCCTAGAATTGGTAAGGAAAAATGTGCAAGAGAATCCCCAGTTTTTTTCGGCTCTGGTAAAGTTACATAGCTATGGAAACATTTATCATAGGTAAATCAAATATATTCAACTATATTATATAATGTCATTACTATGGGGTTCAATAGCCATGACTACCAGAGATGAAATGACTACCATGAGCGTCAGGCGCTCCGGCAACGTTTTCCCATGCATTGATCCAAGGTTGATCCAAGGCACAGGAATGAGGATCTCCACCGTTGCATTCAGCACTAAGAAGAGATCGAAGAGATTCCAATGCCAATTTTTGCCTGTCAGCTGCTGATTTTTTTCTGGAAGCCATGGCTTCTACACCATGTTTAATGTATATAATAATAATTGACAACAATAACAATGATGTTGATAATGATTATGATAAAAAACAATAAAACAATAATAACAATAATAACAATACTAACAATAATGATAATAATGGTATTAATGATACTGTTATACTATTTAATCAAAAAACACATATCATAATATGTATATAATATGTAAATAATATATATATATATATCATATATATATATATTTATATATGTCTATATATTGATATTTATATATATATCACATATAGATATGATATATATATAGATATCATATATATATATATATGAATATCATATTTATATATATATGATATAAATATATATATATGATATATATATATATATGTATATCATGTATATATATATATCTATCTATATCATATATACATTATGTATATGTATATATGATATATATATATATGATATATATATGATATATGTATATATAATATATATATATATATACGTATATATAAATATCATATTTCATACATCGTATTAAATATTGTGAATATTATGTATTCCATATGTGATACCTTGTCCCTGTCCCTATGAATATTCCCATGATATCCCAGTTGTGGTTGATTTTGCACCGCAGTTATCGACATTGATGGTAAATTGAATGGTAAATATGTTCCTCTTCCTCTGTCCTTGTCATTTAATTCCTGATCAAACTCTTTTTGGCTGATTTGCTACAGATTATATCAATTATATATAATTATCTGATCTAACAACGCATTGCTACAAACTCACCATGAGTATAACCACTGCATATAAAGTCTCTTTCTTCCACTATATGCTTAACGGAAGCCAGAGAGCAACTTTTTTTTTTTCCGGAGGACTTATCAAATCAGGATCAACTAATTTCTCGCGACATGCCTCGTTCGTAAATGGAGTCTTGCCACTCAATTTGCAAAGATCATGCAATTTCAAAGCATTCCTGGTCTGTCGCTCTCAACCATTGGTTTTCGTCATCAATTGCAGTGCTGTCAAACGCCCTATATCCCCAGCTATCCCCCTTTCAGCCAGGAGAAAACCTGGGTGCATCAACGAAAACAAGACAAAAACCGCCAAGCGCCTAGACCTCCTAAAATGCAGTACAGCTTATTTGGATGAATGCTCTGAAAACAGGACCACATGATTGGTCGCACCATATTCAAAGACATATCTACCAAGATTGCAATCATGTCAAGTGGGGAATACAAACACCATTGGTGGGGTACCATCTGCACGTGGAATTGTTGCTATTTTGGGGACCCTCTTAATATTTAAATATATTTAATATCTCTTAATGTTTAATCAGCTGTGGCGTTGTTTATTCTGGGTTGATGTGAAATCATTGACTTGAAAGGCCTGCACCTGAACCCTAGCAGGTGTCACTCACTTGTTACCACGTCAAACCGATTTCCTCCCAAATCAGACTCAAACAACTGGATGTGGGCTTGTCTGAAAATAAGGTAGCCCTAAATTTGATGGTTACTGTAATCACTAGTAATCACCCTTTTCCCATTAACATTGCGGTTCGGAAGGTATACCCCATCTTCAGACACACCCTCCCAGCCTACAAAGAAGTGCCAACGATATGCCTGGGAGGTGAAAGGCGTCAACACTGGGGCCCAATAAAACACCATGGTCTTGGCATTTTCTAATGTGCAACAGGCTACAATAATCTACAATAGCTAAGTTGGTTATGTTGCTTGAACTAAGTACTTGAATTCCAGGATATATGCTAGATATAGCTCTAGAACATGGGATTTATAAACCAATTCATAATTGTAACTGGGTGGCCCCCACCCTTTAATCTGATGAAACAATCCTTGGTGGGTCATCATTTATCGTTGGGTTGCTTTTGATCGCGAGGAACTGCAACTGCAAAGATGTGTACCCCCCAAAAAAACACTTCTTTGGAGTTCTCACTTACCTTTTTTTCGGAACGAAATAAAGAAAGGAACAGGACATCTTCTACCATCCCCATCCGGTTTGTGGTTGCAATCCGTTCAAACAAATTATCGGTCAATGGAAGCTGGCAGTTACCATCAACCAGGGTTTTTCGGCCAAAGTATCCTGTAAAAGCAAGGCTAAGTACTATAGTATCACTGAAGCCAATGTAAGTTCAGGATCATAAATTCTATTAAATCCTAATAGCTAGTAGATGGAACATGACCATTTTCAACATCATGGAAAAAATGAAACACATAGGTTCTAATAGCTTGATATAGCTTGATCCAACGGGTTTTCATATTTTTTTGTATTTTTAGATGTCAAACATTACCCTCTGGTCATTAAATATATTAAACATCACCATCAAATTATAGTTTCTATCCTCGAACAGAGAACAGGGTCATTTCCATGAATAAAATCGTGAAAAAAAATCATACCTGAGGGTAAGCCAAAAAAAACACCACTCACCGATATATATATATATATATCTGTCTATATATATACTGGTTGGTGGTGCAATAACCATCGTGAAAAATATGAAAGTCAATGGGAAAATCTATCCCATATATTATGGAAAATAAACAATGTTTCAAACCACCAACCAGTATATATATATATATTACTATATATATTATCTTCTCTGCCCGTCCAGAACTGGCTGTTAAGTGCAGCCAGCATGCCGTCAAGTGCAGCACGACTTCAATAGTGAACCACGCTAAGAAAACGTATTCCTTTGGCGCTCAGGGCAGGGTAAGAGGATTCAACAAAGCGGCAAACCGAATGTCGGGGATCTTGAAAAAAAATAAAAAAATGGTACTTTTGGGGGTCATGATTGAGTTTACCACATTGGTGGAAGTTATAGAAAGAACTAAACCCACGAATTCTTGGGGAACTGCCCAATTTCGATTGGAACAAAAAAACACCTCATGTTGAGTGACTTTTTGATTCTGTTTTGGGGCATAGTACCTGATATGGAGACATCAGTCCAATCACGTCCTGGACCCGAGAAGGGTCTGATTGAACGTGGCATATAATTCGCCATTTGTACAGTATATCGCGGCAAAAATCACCATAATCCGTGGACATTAGAAATAGCCCAGCTTCAGACAAATCCGTTTCGTTGAAAACTGAAATGAGAAATCACGATTTCGTTGAGACATGGAAAAAACAGGTCGGTTCGGAGGAGGCTCGTGAAATATCGCTGCATAGAATACTGTATTGCCATGAATACACTTCTATGAAGTGGCTGACATCTCACAATTCTCACCCGAGCATGTGTAGTCTTTATACACATAATATGATACCACTGATGCAAGTAGCGTATGGAAATCTCGCTTGTGGCCACCTAACATATGCTATTCATGTTGTTGTTCACTTCCACAACAAACTCAGGTCATATTCCCTGCATACCTTCCCTCACACTTGCACACTTCTTCCAACTGTGTTCAATCGCGCGGCTCGATAGTGAATGTGATACCTCTGAATACAATCGTATATGATTATATATATATATATGGGTACGTTAAAATAGTTCACTAGGAATTCACTAGGCAGAATATAGCGGCTATATTGGGAGAATTCCCCTTACTGATCATGATGAGGCTCTGAGGTCGCAGCAGTGAGGTTCTTATACTTTACCCAAAGTATACTGCTTGGTGGTTTCAACCCCTCTGAAAAATATTAGTCAATTGGAAGGATTATCCCATATATTGTGGAAAATAAAACATGTTTCAAACCACCAAGCAGTAATTATAGCTACAATCCACTCCGGTGAGACCGTTTTGCGTTGGCAAAATGTAGGACCAAAAAACTTCAAATCCCGTGTGGTTCTCTGTGAATTTCGCGGTGGTTTTCATGACCATCTGATCCTCCGATCGGAACCCGTCAGGGGTCTGTAAATGTCCATTTTGGGGGATTTTGAACATCACCTTCAAGTACCCATAGGATCCATGGTGCTGCTATATATGGTAACATTTACCATCAATATACCCCCAATGTTAGCATATATACCATACATGGATCCTATGGGGTATGTGTTTGAGATATTTTGAGATTAGATTCCCAATGGTTGGGTGATGTTTAGTTAGATTTAGAATTCGGACATTTGCTAACCCCCTGTCCCAGCCAAGCAACTAAGGAATTCTCTAAAGACTGTGTTGGTGACCCCTGCACACGAGAGAAGCTGTTCTGAATCTGCCTTGGGGACATCGGAGAAGTCACTGATCGAACGTTTTGGTGATCGAAGTCCGATGCTCCTTAGGTCCTGATCGAACTATATTATGTGTGCAGCACTGTGTGCATTTCCAGCCCGAAGAATACCATAAAATCACTCTCGTCAACAACTGCTTTTGTTAGGTTCGGCATGTTTCAGCTTCAAAAAATACGAGACTTGGGAGATCTTGAGACATTCATCCTGCTTTCTGGAAACATTTGAACCACGAAGGCTGAACATCATGGGGATTCCAACGACAAGGTGACCCTTCCAGTGGTGAATAAGCCCTTAGAAACATCGTCGATGCTGACTAAGCTTCACCATGCTTGGTGGTATACCTACCCCCCTGAACAATATGAGTTCGTCAGATTGGATCATCATCCCAACTATGAAAATAAAAGCCATGTTCCAAACCACCAACCAGTCACCCATAAGACCAAACATGTTTTGGTGCGGGTCACATGACTTCGGGGGCCTTGGTTGGAGGCCTCATGGTATTGCTGATGGCCCACACCTAACGGACCTAACCTGTTTTTCGCTGTTTTTTGGGCGGATTCCCACATAGGGTTAGCGCGTACTTTCCATGAAAAAACACGTATATAAACTCATGATTATTTCAAAGTGTTCTCCCTCTTTGTTCATAAATATGGTCCTACTTGCGATATCCCCATTTGACCAACCATCTGCTAGCATAGCTCAACCAAACATTGCGAAACAAGGCACTGATCGGTACGAAGACCGATGTAGACCGCATTGGCCATGATGGCAATCATGCTAACCTCAACGGGATGGCTTGGAGCTTGCCGCTTGGTCCATTGGTGGTTAGGGGATGAGTCCAATTAGTTCGTCACATGGCAACTTGGGCATTTTGGGGGTCCATCTTCAGGGGGAAACAAGACAATTCAGCCTAGCAGGGAGATGTAACCAGCAAAAGTGGGCATTGTAATTTGACAAATAACTAGCATATTTATCCAACAGTATCCAACAATATGATTGGCTGGTGTGTGGGGATCCAAATGCACATGTGGATAACCACTGGGAAAAACCATTGACATTTGGATATCAAATACCTAGAATGGTTAGCTACTGATTGGCAACTTGAGCATAGTGGCACGAATGATGTTCCACTTCTTGGAACAAACATGAACTGTCTAAGGCTTAAGGGGTGAACATTTCATCAGCAATGAGGATAATATGATCACATTTCAGAAGGAGTATTGGCAATGAGGCACAATTTATTGAACAAGTCTTTGGATGTTCCCTGTGCTATTAAAAATGTTGGCAACTCTATCAAATGTTGGGCATAAGCCGTTATAAGCCTACTATCAAATGCCGGTGAACAGGTTAAACAAATCGGCCAATGGATTCACCAAGCAGAGAGGCGTTCAGTGACAAACACGACTGTCCAAAAAAGTGTCTGATTACAGCCCAGAACAGTCTGGTTATTGTGGGCTGGGTGTATATTATACTTGCAATATGTATATATATATATATATAGAAAGTTAAGAAACATAGATAGATGGATGGATGGATGAGATAGATAGAGAGAGAGATCGATAGATAGATCGATAGATAGATAGGGAGATGGATACACTGCAGCCCACTTTTAAAATGATTCTGTTCGCAGTTAAGAAACTAAGCGTGGGATAGGCGAAATGTGTATATATTTAATTAAGCGATGTCAAACACCTATTGAACAAATGTGGAAAATTGCCAAGATAATGGTTAGTCAACTGGAATTCCCCGTTTATGGATCATCATGATAATCCACAATGTGTATATAATTATATATATATGTACATATATATGGGCTTTTCCATAAATGGGGGATCCCCAAAATGAATGGTGTATCATGGAAAATCCAATTAAAATGCCCCTATTTTATGAAACCCCCATATATATATATACACATATATATACATATATATATATATACATATATATATATATATACATATATATATATACATATATATATATACATATATATATACATATATATACATATATATATGTATACATATATATATATATACATATGTATATATATAGGGGAGTATGACACCCTTTCCAATCCTCAACCGCAAGGCACGTTTTTTTGTTTTTTTCTGCGGCAAGGCACAGCTTTGAAGAACACGGAATTCACCAGGCACATCCTGAAACTGCTGGGATGATGAAAGGTGACATCTGATTTCCATAGAAAATGGGGATTTTCATAGGGATTTCCATGGTTAATAATGGTTAATAATGGTTAATAATGGCTAATAATGGTTAATAATGGTTAATAATGTTTAATAATGGCTAATTTTGGTTGATAACTAGCTGCTCGGTGGTGCAATAAGCATTTTGAAAAATGATGGAGTTCGTCAATGGGAAGGATGACATCCCATATATGACATGGAAAATAAAAGCCATGTTTCAAACCACCAAGCAGATAGTAATGTATATATTATATATCTAATATCATCACCACCATAATAATACAAAATGATAGTAAGCATAATCATCATCACCATCATGATCATAGTTATTGGCCCTGACATGCCATCCTCTGCCGATGTTTTGAATTTCGAAAATGGTTCCTAAAAAATGTTTCCTATCTACTCACTAAACTGGTTCTCCGCCCCCGGGTAATGAAACCTGGTAATGCACAGCCAACTAGGCATATGCCTTTAGGCCTTTTTGGTCAAGTTCAACCCCTATCTCTCTGGTGGCCCTCCAGTAAATCAATTAAGGCCATTTGGGGATGATTTCCCTTATTAACCATGATTCCAGTGAGGTCGCAGTGAGGTCGTTATAATTTACCCAGATAGATGTATCGAAAAGACATATCTAGCCACAGTAGATCATTCTACTCCCAAGAACACCTGGCTTGTCAAAGTTTAGTTGATATCCCATCGACATGTCCCTCAACCTATGATCATTACCTCCCAATTATGGTTGGTTTTATATCCCCATCTATCATCATTATTGGATATATATTCTCCATGTTCAATTGTCCTGCGCATTTCCTCCTTTTCCCCTCATGGTATTCCCCTTCTACTTAGAGGATCATCTCACTTATTAACTGGTCAATTATATATATATAATATATATATATACCGTGGTTAGTAAGTCCCCGTTTTTCCTGAGGTTATCCTGCATACAACTGAGGTAGAAATATGGTTGTCAAGTTACTAGCTGGGATGATCCGATGGTCCTCCAAGTACGACCCTTTTTGTGGCTGAACTCCCAATGTTTGCCGTTGCATTCCGAGGAACATCACGTGCATTCCGTGGACATCCTCAGACTCCTTGGGTTGCGATTTCTCGGGCTTGGTGTTTCTTCAGATGGAGACCGGGAGATCCATAAAATGAGACTCTGAATGAGAAAATGCCAACAGAATGAATAGTTTTGCTTTGAATGTCTTTTCAATAGGACAATTATGATACATGATTCATGATGGGATGTTGGGGTCATAATTTGGAAAACGATGACGATGATGATGATGATGATGATGATGATGATGATAAATCATCGTAGGATTTTGGGATTTCTCATCTTTGGAAGAACCCCCTTGGGTACGTTACTAAGTAAACGTCAGTGAACTAACCAAGAGATCATGGAAAACCACTATCTAGTAGCTGGGTTAATTCAGTTATAATCTGTGAACCATCATTTATGGTGTCTTGGGATGTAACCCACTTTCTAACCAATTCACTAGCTCCATGGCTCATCCAAGAAAGACCTCCCCAACAAATTGGTTGAATATACCGCATTCATAGGGCTTGATGAGGGCTAATATTCTTTAGCAAGCCCTTATTTGTTTGGGGGGTGAACCTGTTGTGAGGGGTTGAAGCTTACATGTAATGATCGATTTCCCTACAGGATGGGCCCCCCCCAGTTATATAAGTTGCTTTATACACCATTATGATGGGATCATTTCAATGGGAACATATTCATACAAAGTGGTGTCCCCCAGTGATGTTAGTTGGTTTATGATCCCCATGAACTATACTTATATCATCTTATATCTACCATAAACCATAGAATTCAGCCACTTTTCTCTCAGGCAACTTGGCTATCTTGGGGGCCCCCATCCTGCACCCTTCTGTGTTTTATCTGGTTCAAAATTGCTACCACTGGATGTCACCGACTACTTGACTACTTGGAGGATCATCCCACATCATATAACCAGCCAGTAGCGATAAGCCAATTTTTTTTTGTTTCCATAGGGGATCCCCAATTTATGGGTGGTTACAATTGGACAATCCTAGACTCCTAGAGAAATTAATAGCTGGATGACTGGGGTACCCGGGGTACCCCCATGACTTAATGGAAAGCTCCAATTGGGAGCAGTGGGATCACTGAATGACTTACCAAATCTACTAAGGGCGAAGCGCGCGAGATCGATTCGTGGGATGATCCAAGTATACAATGGCCCACTGTGGCCGTGGTTCGGTTAGGTATCTTCCAGTAGAGCCAGGCCATGGCCAACTGTACCCTGATCAAGACCTTGGCTACCTCATGACCCATAGGATCCATGGTGCTGGTATATCTACTAACATTGGGGGTATACTGATGGGATCCATGTTACCATATATAGCAGCACCATGGATCCAATGGGTGATGGATTATACAACCGTTTTGATGTTTGAAACTCTGCTTCAAACTCAAACCGGCAAGTAATCATCTTCATACGGTGGAATAGTACGGTCCTCCACGTATTCAAAAAACACGCAATCTACCAGACCAAACTTTGCCCAGTACTGTTGAGTTGAAAAAATAGGTTCGGTAAGGTTCGGTACCATGATGACCCATTTGTCAGAGATGAGAAGTGCCCATCCTTCTAAAACAAACAGTAGGATGTGAGGCCCCCAAGATAGCTAAGTTGGTTTATAACTCCAATAACTATGGTACATATTGGTACTTATAACGAACTAGTTGCTGGGGCGAATCCAAACCAACTAACATCACTGGGGGGGCCTCACATTGAGACGGATGAGATAGGATGAGATAGGATGAATAGATTCGGGTTTCTGTTTGTACCCTCTCTTCAACCCACAGATGGGATGATTCACATAACCCATAGGATCCATGTATGCTATATATGGTAACATTTACCATCAATATACCCCCAATGTTAGTATATATACCATACATGGATCCTATGGGTAATTCAAGGCATTCACGGATTTTCACAAACTGAAACGGGGCTATGCGCATTGAAAACCCGGGGACCGGTTTTTTCTAAAGAATGGCAGAACCTTGAAAAACAAACCGCTAATTTTATTTACGGACACCGGGGAATTTCGAAGCTAGTATCTGAAGTACCTGAAGCAGTGGGCAATCGTTTAAGTGGTTTTCTGCACAGGAGACATCTGGAGACAACCAGTATCTGGGGTAATTTGCCAAAAAAACATACCCTGATGAAGCCAAAAATAGCTGGCAAATGGACGCTCATCCGTCCCAAATATGGTACAATAGGTCTTGAGCCATACCCAAGTCGAAGAATGTTCCTGTATTCCTTCGTTCCTAAAAGGGCTTAGAACTATAGTTCCTTGAAGCATGGTCAATGTCTGCTCACTGTGTCATTTTTTTGGGGAATTCAATACCAACTCGGGCTTATCTTCAATTTCTATGTTTATGACTATTGACTATTATTGTTGAATTATGTTGAATTTGTTGATTATTGTTTGTGTGGCTATTGTTGCTGACATCATTATATGAATCCCCATTGTCATTACTATCACTATTATCAATGTTATCACTATAATCACTATAATCACTATTGTCATGTTGCCAAAGATCACATCACGGCACTCATGGAGTTTTCCCAAAACTCCAGGGGCACCCAGCACCGGCGTCAACGCCAAGACTTGGATAGTTGTGCACATCGCTATCTGAAAAGCTCAGCATGTGAAGTTTCTTCACATCCAAACCATGCATTCCCAGTCACATAAGGCCTCGATCATTTGATTGGCTGATGTAGACCACCATGTCTGTCAAGTCCTGTACAATAATGCTAGTATCAAAGTGACTGCTATTCAGAATACTACTAAATAGCTTACTATAGTCATTATCAGTGTGAACTAATTCATGCTAAATCCATAGTTTCCCAGCATTTTCGCAACCAAGCGTCGAGCGCTTGGAACATGGTCCAGGTCTGCTGCCACTCTCCATTCCTGATCCAAAGGTGCCAGGCCAGAACTGGCTGCAGGCCAGAACTGGCTGCAGGCCAGGACTGGTGTCCGAAAATTGGGAAACAAATACCCCAAATGATAGGGAAACAAATGGAGACCAGAAAATACATGGAAAATACCTGAAACCCCAATTTAACATCCAAGATTGAAAATCTAAGGATCAATTTTTGGGCTATGTTCAAACAAACCGTTGTAATTCATCCAGAATCAGGAATTTGAAACCTTCTGTGATCAACATTGCGACAGAATACACAATGTGCACATTTGTTGGATTAATCATGCACACATGACACATGGTGATTTTTCCAGTGCCAAGTTTGATTACAAAAGGAGAATCAAATCATGGTAACCTCACCAAAAAGAATGAAGACATCTCTTGAACCATTGGATTTTGCCAGCATACATGTGGACTCTACCAACAGAATGAAGCAAACATAAATATTGAGTAACCTGACATAAGGTGTGTATTATTGTGATCCCCACCGTGGCATTCTGTCTGGCATCTATTCTGACATTCTGTCTGGCATTTTTCCATTCGGGTCCAGGGGTGCCCCATAGCATCGCTGGCGATATGGTGTCCGGCGCTCACTCCACAGTGAAAGAAGACGGGAGTGATGGCAAGTGAAGGAAGGAGGAAAGGAAAGGAAGGAGTTGCACCTTCGTTTAAAATCTAGAGACCCTCACCTGGCAGGTGGGGAATGAACAATCATAAAACCATTGGCCTTTACCTTCCATATGTCTTTTCTGTAGAGCCTTCACTTGTAACTACAGAGGTCAGGGCCAGTATATTTGGATTCCGAACTTGATTGTCATCTGAGTCCACAATATAATTAATGTATGCACCTTCCCTTTTGCATGGAGTCATCCATGCAACAGGGGCTAAAATTTATTGTGTTTCAACAGGTTCTGTTACCCACTGAACAATTTGGGAAGAGATACCTGAAAGTCATGGAAATAATCAAAACGATATATTTATCTAAATCCAGCTTCGTGTAAGGCATTGCTAATATTGTTACAGGGTTTCCGAAATGTACCACATCATATTATCACATGCTTCGAAAAATGATAACTTTGGCCATCAAGGCACAGACTGTCACCAAACTTGATGCCCCATCTCCAACCTGGTCCCGATTAAACATCGTTCCGTAATGTTCAGCTGGTCCCGTTCTTGATGCACTTCGTTCTGATATATTGAAATGTTAGTATATGAACAGATATTAATTACTATTCAATCAAACGCCTGCTGTTAAAATTACAAGATTTCCAAGTTCCGAGTCATGAACACCTCAGAGGTCTCAGCCTCCTGATGAAAAAAAATCACTGATTCACAGACTCCAACCAACAACAAAAGCCTGTTGTGATCTCGGGGTCAACAAACCCATGAACTGTATAGTATAGTTGTATAAAAGTATCACAAACCATAGATATTCGAGTTATTTGCACCAACTTAGCTGATCTGGGGACACCCACACACATACAAACCTTCTTTTTTGATAGCCTTTATTGGTTTGTCATTCTTGTTTGGTGGAAGAACTGCGGCATCTCCGTTGCAAGATTCAAAAAGGTGCCATCATCCGCTAGCTTTGTGTCAGTGATCAGTTGCAATCGGTGAGAGACCTCGGCAACAATAACGGTGGCCACAGGCCAACGGTGGCCACGATTCCAGTTCACAGAGTGTTTAACCCAAAAGTAAGAATTAGTCAATGGGAATTCCAGGATCCTAAAATGGAGGTACTGTACCATATAAGGCCATATTTTGCTGGGATATTCCCTTACATAGGCCTTACATAGGCTCTTATACATGGTAGGTACCTACAATTTAGGATCCTGAAATTCCCATTGAATTAGTGTTGAATCCAGTATTTGGAGATGATTTTCGAGAGAAACCCATGGATTTCCATAGCCATGTTAGTTTGCTGGCGGGTCATATCTATACTATATACAACATGCATATGATATGCATAGAATGGGGATCATGGTAATAAACTGACCATGAATTTTGGGGGTACCAGTTCTTCGGGCAAACATATGATCTATATCCAAGACAGAGTTGAGGAGGTTGTATCCTCCTCTTACTGCCATCCAAATTCTGTATCCATATGTAACCGATGGATGTGGATACCGAAGTGATGGGGGTCAATACACCATATATGTATTAATATACATATCATGTATTTATATATATATTGTATATACTATATATTATTCTCCAAATTTGTTTGCTAGAATATTCTGATCGGGCTGACACCTATTCCATCTTTGGGTGGTTCGTATCTCCATACTGGAAGCTACACAAAGGTTTATAGTTCAAGTACAAGCTCACGGTTACAACCCAATGTTTGATGATGTTTGATGATGTTTGATGATTGCATCTCCAAACTGGCTTGGAAATACCTATCGGGCAAGTGACCAGAGTATCAAAGTGCATGCTCTTGGCATCCACATACTCCACATCAGCCTCATCTTCCTGCGAGATCTTGGGATGCCCTTTCTGTGAAGACGGCTACGAAATACAGCATGATATATGGAGATTGAAGCATGACACTGTGAGGGAAAAACATGAAAGAACACTATATGGGTATGGATCAATACCTATTAATACCATTTTTAGATATTTTTAGTGGGATGAACAGCCATTTACCAGCTATTTTGATGTTCACCAGGGGTTCAAGGTTTTGACACACTGCCATATTTGAATTTTGGCAAAGTTTCAATTGCGCAATTCATATCTCACCACTCCCAACATTGGTTGAAGAAAAAAACAACAGTGATGTATCCTAATGTCCACCCCGGATGAGCAAACCCTGGGTTGATTAATTCGGGGTACATTCCGAACTGGTGATTTCATCTGCTACCAAAATGACAGCCGCCCAGGGGCAAGAGATCGTCTGACCCAGGACAAACGGTCAATGAATCAATTTGGAAAAGACACATGCGTCATAGTGCGTCAACTCATGGATCTAAAATCATCCCATAATTACATATATATATATAGTACATAATATGATTATACTATATATATACTATTACTATATCAAAAAGACATCGCCTTTTTTCCCATATCTTTGTTCCCCAGACAACGCGTGGTGCCACGTGTGGTGCCACCTGCATCTCCGGTGCGCTGTGACTCAGATCTTTCGTGGTGGCCCTTGAAGGCACGCCCAGCATGCGGAAGTCGCTCTCCGTCGGACTGCCTGGGGGGATCCCGAGGCAAATCCCGAGGTCACCCGGGTCTTGGAAAATGTCAGGGGGTACCCACTGGTAAACTAACATAACTATGGAAAATCACAATTTTTAATGGGTAAATCCACTATAAATGGCCATTTTCAATAGCTATGTTAGTTTACCAGAGGGTACCCGTATCTGGTAATGACTAACATGAAATAACCTATGCTTTAATATGATTTATAGGGATGATTTGCTGGGATAATGATGGGATAATACTGGGATATTGATGGATATACCCTCTGGCAATGACTAACATAGCTATTGAAAATGGCCCATTTACTTCGTGGATTTACCCCATTGAAAATGGTGGATCTGTCCATAGTCATGTTAGTTTACCAGAGGGTACTTCCATGACTTTGGAAACCTCCAAATGGTTTAAAAAACAACTGGCTTGATTGCTGGTAGCTATAAGATGCTATAAGTATAGTTGGGATCATAGTCACAAGCTTGGGAGGGTCACTTTGTACCAGGTCTGGCAAATCCAAATGGTGCCGGCACTTTTGGTATACCAATTAAATTAAGGATAATTAAACAATATCCCGCCTCAGAAAACTGGGGGGTATATAGTGGTTGGATTTACCCCAGTAGATGATTTAGCAGTATTCTTCCTTGGGGCCGTTGCTGACAGGATGCCAATTTTGGGTTGTTTACCGTCCTGATTCTTGTTTTGTAAGTTATAGTTATACCCACCATGGCTTGTAGACATCATAATGCTGCAGCCTAGCATGTGCAAGTTCTTTGAAAGGTTTTGATGCCAGCGAATATCATGCCAATATATATATATATGTATATATATAGAGTTATGTATATATATATATATATGGCCTTTCAGGTTGAATGCATAGTATCTGCAGGTTAGGCATTGTCGACTTCAGTGTGATCATCAATCCAGTTTTAGAGTTACAGTTTTTAACCCCCATGTGTTGTTGCTTCAAATCACCAATCCTTTTGGCATCGTCTCAATGGGTTCCAGCTTTGGGGTTCAGAAGTACCTTTTGATGGCGAACAATCATGTTTATATTGAATATTGAATATAACCCTTGTATATATATATATATTTGGGTGCCGAACACCATCTCTGTTTCACAGGTCCACTAGCAAATTGAAAATAATGTTTCACCGGTCCCCTCATCGGTGCAAATCATAGTAAGCTCAGCATCCAACGCTATTATCATCTAGCCATGTGTCGAAAATGTATCACTATCCCATAGTTTGCTCATCGCATAAACACGTATACTTGTTGGCCAATTACTTTATATCATATGATATCATCTGTATTTGTATAATCTGTAGTCAAATTATATTGTTTTACTGTGAGGTTCTTGTCAGCATGCTCATGGCAAAACTTAGATAGCTGCAACGAATAAATCATCTGGTTGGATCTGGTTATTGTTTATATCCATTTCTTGCAAACAAACACATATGAAAAACATAAAAACTATAGACATAATAAACATTCATAAACGCTTATATCTGTTATAACAAACCATTAGCTGTATAAAACTATCAACAGAAAACATAAAGAATCAACATTGCAAAGACCATCGATCCGAGTTTGACCATATTAGGTTTTCTCTGAACTATACTATAGCACCCCTTTTCTTGTCTTTGATCATAATCATTTTCCCCGCTATTCAAAGGTTGTACTATGGGGAAAATCCTCCATTGAAACACAAAAAAAAGCGGCCCATCTTCGGTTGGTCCGAAAATGCTGCATATTCCGTATCCAAAAGTCCCATATGTCAATGGGGACAATGGTGACAATCATGAATCATAATGTGATATAATGTGATATGACGTGACAATCTATTGGAATTTAGATATGACAATCACATCATATGTAGTATATGGCTGGAAATTAGGCTACTCCAATTTAAGATCAACCCAGATATCCACAGAGCGCACCTAGACCTTCCGGCTCGGGTAGCCAGGGATGTCGTTCAATGGGACCGCTGGGTGCGTGGGGCAAACGCCCGGGCCTCAGAAACCGGGGGTTGAAATAAATCAGGGACTTTTAGCATTTAACATGGGACGAATACCGTCAATAGGTTGTTACAGCAAACCTTGCTACACAAGCCGCTTCCATTCTTCTTATTCTTCTTAGTCTTATTCTTCTCCTTCTTTTCTCTTCTGCTCTCTCGCGGGCTTCCACCTAGAATGCACATCAAACTCCCTTGGGGCCACCCCTCTATGGCCGGCGGGCTTGCCGAAGGCAGTGAAATAGAGAAACAAAAGCGCAAAACAATGGAAACTATAAGAGTTTTTGCATCGAAAGATGATGCAGTATCAACCACATAAAAATGTTGCATTCAGCTATGAAACTATAGGGCTATGCCCTTCCTCCCAATATGAAAAAACGGGGTGATGTTCTCCAAACCAACTTGGGATAGGTTCAATAGGTTCAATAGGGAAAAACAAACCTGAGATGGCTATGTCCAACAATGACATCATCCATAAAACATGGGGGTTTCCATAAATGGGGGTACCCCAAAATGGATGGTTTATAAGGGAAAATCCAATTTAAGTGGATGATTTAGGGGTACCCCCATTTATGGAAACCCTCAAACATGCTATTCCAGGGTTACAGTTGTTTTTTTGGGGAAGGGCTCGACGTTTGTTTTCGGTGATGTGAATCTTGACCCTGGCGATCGATGGTTTCTGGTCACCGGAGTTGGCCATTGCAAGGATCCTGCCATAGGGAATCTCCCAAATTCACCTTTTAAGATCTTTTAACATCTGTTAACTGCCTCAAGATGCCAAGATTGAATTCAAAAAAAGTGCCCCAAAAAGGTATCCCCCATCAATACACACTCAGATCTTGGTCCCACGCTGACGCGCTGCAGGACGCTTTTTTTTTTTCGCTCAACTTCCACGCGCGGCTTGGCTCTCCTATGCTCTCGTTCTGAGACCATTCTGGTGTTATTTCGTAATGCACCGATGCACCAGGGACGCAATAGATATTCAAGTCCAAGTCAACTGGGGACATCGCATTATCTTCCAATGTCATCCTGCTGGTGCGCGGTCCTTGGATCATGAATGATCATGACATGTTCTACAAAGTGGAGCCACCAAGATACTAGCTTCGGTACGTTGGTTTATAATTAACTAGCTTCACTAGAGCTTATGGCATATATATATAATAGTTAGATGGGATAATATGATGGGACCCTGCAGAAAAGATAGCATGTTGATCCGTTTACCTTGGCACTTTGGTTTTGATATATCCGAAAATCCTCCCAACAATAGTTGACTACACACTCTTGCATATCGTCCCCCGCCTATTCTTGCAGCCGCTGGGTCGCCACATCACCAATTTTGTTGGTTAAAGTTAAAGACCTAAATTGATGTCAATTTAATCCAAAAAAAATGTTTTTCAGAAAATGATACATCTGACATATGGCTGTGTCTGATAATGGGCTATACCATGGTATACCATGGTATACCCCCAAATGGCATTTCTTTGAGGACAATGATGATAATCCAATGGATTTAGGGCTACATATGATGTGTTGGTACCAACAATAATCAATCATATTTTGTACATATCAATGTACATATGATAATCCATTGGTACATATCAATCATATCATATTTTCAGACAAACCCATATGATATGACCAACGTCAAGCTGATTGTCTCACGGCTCAGCCACCGATGTTGCCATGCCGATCCGGTCCGGAACTTGCTGCGAGATCGCCACGGTCATCACGCCTTCCAACGATGACCACAGGAAAGGCCTCGGGTTCCAAGGGTTCCAAGGGTTCCAAGGCCAATTTCTGGGAATTCCAGCAGTACTTGTACCCTCTGGTAAACTAATATAACTATTGGAAAATCACCATTTTTAATGGGAAAATCCACTATAAATGACCATTTTCAATAGCTACGTTAAATTACCAGAGGGTAGATATCTTGGGCTTGGGGTTGAACCATCAAAAGATGGTCGAACTATGCATCCTGTTCGGGATCCGACCAACAAAAGTATTGGGGACTACTGAATTTAACCAGGAAACAAATGGTATGGATCAGTATGGATCAGACTTTTTCTTGGACCCGTCTTTGTTGTATTCAATCACTTCATCTTTTCAATGTTCAAACCTACAAGCCATGTGTAACTTGTAAGGGCACCGCTTTGATGTCAAAATGGATACTTGGAGGTTTTTAAAAAAACGGACATTGCTGTAGGTTAGAAGATCATTTTGATTCCCGCATCTTCTGCAAAGTATGCACGTTCTTCATGTGTGACAATTCTTCATTGTCTTTTCCAAACGACATGAAATACCATCAACTTCAGAGTATTTAAACATGTTCCCTGCATTCTTGACCTCATCAAACATGCATCATAAACATTGCCATCCAACTGAATACATGCATATATATATAATCATATAACCAAATAAATAAATAAATATATATATATATGTAGATATGAGTCAAGTCATTGGGCACGGTACAACAAACAATGACGTGGGGAACATGCAAAAGGCGGAACGCAGTGCGGCCCGAGCAGCATGTCACTGACGTCCAGCTATGCTCGCCATTCACGCAGGCAGTGGGTGTGACCACAACGAAGCTGCATTTCTTACCTCAGCCCATGGTAATTCCCAATATATAAAGGGTAGTGGTAATCCTATATCATCATCAACCAACCCTCATTTTTTGGTATATCCACTTTTATCACTATATATATATATAACACTATATATATAACACTATATATATATATATATCCAACATATATATATATATATATCCCCATGGTTTGATGGTTAACCCCCGCCAATGACGATCATCATCAACCTGCCTTAGTTTATCCAAAACCATGGACGCCATTGGCTTTTGAAGAGGAGACGCTAGCATTTGGAAAGAAGCCCTATGATCAGCCAATTGTGAAACTCTGTGAATAAGTTGAAACCATACCTTTAAAGCCGTCTTGAAACCATGTCAATGGTTGTTCCAGAGCTTGGTAGAAGCAAGTGTTGATCAGTTGTAGTATTTGCCCATGCCATTCTTGAGTACCAAATTAAATCCTTACCCAATCAAGCAGTGGCTTGAGGCTGGTCGATGGTTGTGACTTGACAGTAGCTGGTTGCTGTTCTACCAGGTTAAATGGGGATTACGAAGTACCTGAAGGCTATGGTTGGGGATAGGTACCAATCAACAAGCAGAACCATTCCAGCGAAGTTCAGGATACATTGCAACTATATCACAAATCATCAAGGTGGGTCTTGTTCCCTAGATGCAAAGTACCAACAACTCATGCCGTAGTATCAATGGCTGTGAAGTCCAACCGAAGCCCCAACATCTTTCCTCAGGGATGTGGAACTTGTTCAGCAGCACAAAATAAAAACTTCCTGAAGCAATCAGCCGAGCACCTTTACACTGCCTCAGTGTACAGAAAAGCACAGTTGATCCTGCAGAATCCTCCTTCGGAAGCACAGTTAATCAGAGAAAACAACTCTGATCTCAAACAGAAAAATCAGAAATTGATCAGAAAACCCACAGACTCTATACAAAAATCTGCTTTATTAGCCATC